ACTCGCTATACCAAGAGTTCATTCTTGATTAGTTACTATTAACTTTTACATGTCACATCGGATAAATAGTTAATGAATGGTCTAAATTCATAAATTTTTAAGTGTAAAGAGTCTCAATCAAACTAAAAAAATAAAATAAAATAAAAGATCTTAATAAAAAAATTCAAAATATATATAAATTAAGTACAAGGTGAACCTAATAATTAAACTTAGAGGCATGGGGAAAAGCATTAAACTAATAAATGTCACATGAACAAATACTTAAAACATTAATTGAGAACTTCGCCATTTAATTTAATCGTAGCGTGCATGATTTTCGTGTAATTAGTATGCATATTTTCAATACAAAAATACTTGATGACACCATGGTAACGGACACCATTTACAAAAATAGAAAGTTTTTAGGGGTAAACTTGAAAAGTGAAAAAGTGAAATGACATAATACCAACTCGAAATTTTCAAACTAGGGTTTTGTAATTTTAAACAACAAAATTTGAAATTCAAATTTTAATAATAATTTATTTATAATATATATGTTAATGGCTTTGTTAACCGTGCATCATTGACTAGTTTGTGGTGGGGCTCGTAATGAATTATATTTAATTTTGAAAAATGTGAATCGATTTGCTTTCGTTTTTTGTTCAATAGTTGAAAAAGGTTTGTTCGGTGTTCGAAAAGTCTCGAATTGATTGGTGTTAAAAAGCCCGTTCAGCTTCTAACTTTGCACCATATTAAATTACAAAAGCATCCCTTGTCAACTACTAAGTTCAAATAACCATTTTTAAGGATAAAAATGTAATTTAAAGGTTTTCTCGTAACATTCCCAAGAGATAACTATAATGACCATTTGTCCACCCATAAAGGGAAGGCTTTCTCGTTGCATTCTTGTTCAATTATTCATCCCTTCCCTTCTCTTTATTTTTTTTTCCTTGGTTATCTCCGGAGCATTCTTCTTTCAAAAATGGCTAGAAATAAAGTGTATGTAATATTTAGGGGTAGAGCTCCCGGAGTTTATCTTTCATGGGAAGATTGTGAATCACAAGTGATTGGTTTCTCTAGAGCTCTATATCGGGGTTTTAAAAATCATTTCGAAGCCGAGGAATTTTTTGTGAGATTCTTTTATGGTGATCATCCACACGGATTTATAGCTCATATATTGGCACTTCAATAGCTAGTTCATGGAACTCCGAAACTTATGAAAATATGGCGTCCAATACCGAATTTGGGCCTTTAGAAATAAATACATCCGAGGATAGAGGAAATTAATCTCGCCACCATCACTATGTCGATCCAACAATTATGGATGATGTTTTTTTTTCTTTGTAATTGGTGTGTACATAGGGTATTCATGGAGATGAGAATCTATTAATTTGTAGTTTTTGTTTTGAGATAATGAGAATGTGTTACTTTTGTAAATTTGGATTTCGAGTATGTAAAAATTGACAATGTATCGATTGTACTCGTAACTAAAAAATGTTTATAGTGTTTTCATAATGCTAATTGGTGTGCTAAACAGATCCAAATCCTTCGTTTTCCAAGTTATATAAAACCAAAGTAGGTTTTCAAAACGTTAGTTAGTGTGCTAAAAAGTCAAAATCCTTTGTTTTCAAGTTAGAAAAATCCATCCTTTTGTTTTCAAAATGCTAATAAGTGTGCTTGAAAAGTTGGTATCCTTTATTTTCAACTCGCATTATCAAATGACAATGATTCACTTGCATTATTAAATGATAGTTTGTTAGTATACATCAATTTATTTTATTGGATTCTTAAGGAAACGTTAAGTCTTTCGATCGGTACCAACATTACTTTCGGAATGCTAGTTAATATGCTAAAAAATCCAAGTCCTTCATTTTTCATGTTATAGAAAACCAAAGTGGTGTTTTCGAACTCTAGTTAGTGTCTTGAAAAGTCAAAATCCTTCATTTTGAAGTTAGAAAAGTCCAGAGTACTTTTTTTAGCATGGAAATAAGTGTGCTGAAAATTTGGTATCCTTCATTTTTCAAGTTACAAAAAACCAAAGTGGTGTTTTCGAACGCTAGTTAGTGTGCTTGAAAAGTCAAAATCCTTCATTTTCATACAAAAGTAAAAATTACTTTTTTCAAAATGTTAATAAGTGTGCTGAAAAGTTGTTATCCTTTGTTTCTAAGTTACAAATAACAAAGTGGTGTCTTCGAACGCTAGTTAGTATGCTCGAAAAGTCAAAATCCTTCCTTTTCAAGTTAGAAAAATCCAAAGTACTATTTTTCAAAATGCTAATAAGTTTTTATCCTTCTTTTCCAAGTTACGTAAAACAAATTAGTGTTTTCAAAATGCTAGTTAGTGTGCTCGGAAAGTCAAAATCCTTCATTTGCAAGTTAGAAAAATTCAAAGTTACTCGTTTTCGGAATGTTAATAAGTGTTTAGACACCGAAATGAAATCCATTTAACTAATTATTAGCACGGAGGTCAAGTTTTCATCACACCGATATTCATTTAAATGATTATCGACACGCATTTACATTCCGAAATTATAAATAAACAAGCCAATTACGAAATTGTAACTAAACCAAGTATAAGTTAAGTATCATTCACAAAGTCATTATAAGCACAAGGCAAATACAATATGCATGAAAGTATCCGGACAATTAGAATGAAAGATAGTCATTTCCTATTTTTTCTAAGATAATATCAAGTACGGTCTAAGTCTGTTTTCTTTTTCTCTAAGTGTCCGATAAAGTTGAAATGATTCTTGCGAAGTTTCGAGCAAATGGATTTCCTACAACAAAGTTTCCAACATTATCGAATCGGCCGAGTTGTTGAGGTATTTGCGAAGGTCACCGTTCCTTCATGTTTGAAACAATAGGTGTGAAACAACTAATAATATAGTTTGAGACATTGCATACGGATATATTACAAAAACATTGTTGAGAATATTACCTAACGAACTCGTCTCTACTAGTATGCTTGTAAGTGTCCGAAAATATCGCATAGTGAATCTATAAAAAAGAACATTGTATAATTAGAATAACAAATATGTGAATGCATTATGTGGTGAATACATAATATTTTCATGGAAAAGAGTTATAACATTATCGGATTGTGTATCGACTTGTATGGTGAATGATCCACCAACAATGTATTTGACTCATTGTATGGAAACCGATTCCACACTTTAGTCAATTTCTTGAAAAACTAGGGTTTGCCCCCATCTTCAAGTTCAACAGAGCCATAATTTGATTGGTCCTACATCAAAGAAATCATACAAATCAAAATTATATAACAAGTAACAAAATATGCATTTATCAAACTCATTATGGATTTATACTTACCCACATAAAATAGAATTGATCGATTTTGTCCCTAAATAACACATTTAGTATGGACGATGTATTATTTTTGCAAAAAACAACAATAAATTTGAATGATATGAAGTTTTAACACACCGAGTAACATTCTGAAATTATACAAATTAGCAAAAAAACAAAGTGATAAATTTTTTCAACACACTAAGTAGCATTCGAAATTTAGGGGCTTACTTGTTTTGCGACGTCCAAATACCAACTACAAATTTATCGAAGCAAAACTCCAAGAAATCATCAACATGGGGCCTCTTAAAGATTGAAAGGAATCATAAGAAAAAGAAACAAGTAAATAAAATCGATAAAGAGCTTAACAAACAACAAGGAATAATGTATAGGATAATGTTTTGTCTCTTAGTACTCGGTTTATCTCTTAGTTTCATGTCTCCATTCTTTTTGGTTGAGAAATCCCCAAGACTCAACAAAACTCCATTGAGATCAAGTATTAAAAGCTTTTTTGCATCCTTTTGATTGTCTTGATGAAGAGGATCAGGATTTTCATGCATAGTCTCTTGATCCCGAGTTGTTTGTTGATCCCGATGCTCGAAGCCTCATGTTCTAGAATTCCATACTCGTTGAGAATGTTGTTGGTGATGCAGAGAACGATTGGTTTGGATCTCTTTAATTACATTGGCTAGCATTGTTTTGATGCTACCGATAGCATCTCTATTTTCTTGCAATCCATGTGTAACAAATTATTTCAAAGCACTCAATTCCTCCCTAATTTCTCTAATCTGCTTCTCCATTTCATGTACTTGAGAGGCTTCGCCAATACCAAGCAGCATGAGTACTTGAGGTTATAGCAAACTATTGGGAAGTAGAAGCAATAGCTTCTAATTGTTTTAGCTTCCACCCTCGAGGTGTCTTGGCTAACTTCATGAATAATATAGTGGTCCTATTCACCACATCCCAACCCACATAATCTAAACCCTCCAAGTCTAACCCATTATTTTTGAAAAACCTAATGACAATCATACCACACACCAATCTAATTTTTTTCTTTCCATAATTTACGGACCTCATACTTTCACTCCTCTTGTCTATACAATCTACCATCAAAGTAGTAAAGTTCATAGGTTGTTTATTCATAATATGCCATATTACGAGCATTTTCATGACTTGACACATACTCTTTTTCACCCAATTTAGGCATGATAATTTCGTAATGGCAAAATGAATAAACCTAATCTTAGGTTTAAAACTAGCCTTTGTCAAATACTTGTCACTCAATACTCCTTCAGCATGCTCATGATAACATTGTTTTCAAAATTCATTCTCATTATAACTTCGCGATTAGAAAGTTGTTTCCTTTTATTTAGGGTTTCTTATCAAAATCAACAATGTACCCCTCAATTGGTAAGTTGAAATACTCATGCATTTTTGCCTTTATAATAACCACTCTAACACCTTTTATTTCTTCCGTTAGAATAGTTTTTCCTTCAATATTTTTGGATTTCAAAGTAACATAGAAATACCTAGCATAATCGGGGTATATATATTCTAAAAACGTCAATAGGTCCAATAAGCTCGATTTATCAAAATAATCTACCACATTAAATCCAATCTCTAACAGATTATCAAAATCAATGCGCTTACCTACAATGATCCTCTCCGAGCTTATCACTTTGTTGTAATACGTTTCCCTCCGAGGTTCCGAAAGGAATGGTTTATCTTGCCGAGTCTAAACAGACGGATCGTGGTTGTATTAAGGTTTCTAATTGTTTCTAACCTTCGCCTTCTTAGAAGGACAATGAGGTTTACCGCCTTTTCGTTTATCTCTCATGGATAATATAGGGTTTTATAAGAAAAAAGGAAAACAAATTGAAAAGGATGGATGTGTTTGTTATGAAAAAACGTGATCAATAAAACTCGTTTTTGGTAGAGATAACCGAATAAAGTTTTTTATTTTTGTAATTGCGCACAACCGATTAGAGTGCTAAAAAACGTTGATCGGTGTTCTAAAAAGGCTTGATTTAGTTAGAGTTAAACTAGTCCTTTAAACTTCTAATCGGGCACCATATTAAAATACAAAAGCATCTCTTGTCTAGTAAGTTCAATTCAGAATTTTAAGGATAAAAACATAAATGCATGGCTTTCTCATTGCATTCCCAAGAGCTAACGATAATGATTAGTTTATGGTGGAGCTCGTAATAAATTATATTTAATTTTGGAAATGTAAACTGATTTGCTTTCGTGCCTTTTTCGGTATGCTGAAAAAGGTTTGTTCGATGTTCTAAAAAGTCTTGCACCATATTAAATTACAAAAACATCCCTTGACAATTAAGTTGAAATCACCATTTTTAAGGATAAAAATGTAATTTGAAGGCTTTTTCGTTGCATTCCCAAGAGATAACCGTAATGATTTGTCCGTGGTGGGCCCTCTAAGCAATTATATTTAATTCTGGAAAATGGCTACCGATTTGCTTTTGTGCCTTTTTCGGTATGCTGAAAAATTTTCATGGTTTTAAAAAGTCTATGTTTATTTTATTTGGTTATTGACAAGCTTTAATTCATCGAATTACATTGACATTTCAATCTTAGTATATCTATAAAATATAGAGAGTTGACATTAAGATAAATCAAAATAGAAATGGTAACAAAATGTTAATTCCATTTATTTTTTGATGAATCGACCATTTATTAAGAAGAAAATAAAATGATATTTTGTGAAATAAATAGTAATCTTAACACAACTATGGTGCAATTAATTAATTATTTTCTTTCTTTTTTTAATTCACTAAAATATGATAAAAAAAAATATGAAAGTTGCAATAACATCCATATCTTATTATGTTATATATGTGAATTCCATTTATTTGTCTACATTGACCATTTGACTTATTTTTTACCATTAATTTAGTCTATATCTTGATATCATGGAGATTAATTTAGTCGATATCTTAGTATGTGATCGTTGACTATCTTAGTACGTGATCGTTGACTTATTTGACCATTACTATGATATCATGGAGATGAATTTAGTCGATATCTTAGTATGTGATCATTGATATCTCATTACTTGATCATTGACTAATTTGACCATTACTATAATATCATGGAGATGAATTTAGTTGATATCTTAGTATATGATCGTTGATATCTTATTACGATCATTGACATATTTGACCATTACTATGATATCATCGAGATGAATTTAGTCGATATCTAAGTATGTGATTGTTGATATCTTATTACGTGATTGTTGACATATTTTACCATTATTACAATATCATCGAGATGAATTTAGTTGATATCTTAACCGAATTTAGTTGACTACTATTACATGATCATTTTATTGACCATTGACTAAGTTGACCGATACTATGATATAGGTTAGATTTCAAAAACACGACGTTGTTTTATTAAAACAATTTCACCGAAACTCACAACACTCGGTTTTTAGCACGTAAATTGATATTTTAGCATACTAAAATGTTCAAATGTTATATTATTAGAGAAACGCCTAATCGTTTCACTTATCATTAACCATCAAAATTTTTAAATAGTTGGATTGGACTAAAGAAAGAAAAGGACGCTTCAAATTTAAACAGATTTACGGGAGGGAAGGAATAAAGACTCTAAATATTCACCTTGGAAACAAGATATTTTAGTTACGCATGCTTCAACTATCTTGGTACTCTAAAAACGAAATTAATGTAGGTTTATCTTCTAAGAGGTTCTAGTTGTACGAGTTCTTGGCCTATTTAAACTCTTATAAACTCTTTGTAAGATTACCATACTTAACCTAAATTGATTAGTCGAAGAAGCAAAATACATGGCGGAAAAACGTTCAATCATCCCAAGCCCTTACAAAACTCCCGGTTACATATATTATTATTCAATTTTTAATTTTCTTCTCATAATATTTTTCAGCAAGCTGATTTTTTTTTTTTTTATGATTCATTTCATGTTAACGGATAAGCAACCCATAAGAGCTAACGGGCCCTCATCCCATCCGGCATTTCGGACGTTGTTATTTAAAAGCAAGAACAAGCATAACGAATGGAAAGCTAAGGTGAAGGAGTTCCTGCAACGCTTGTCCGCTTCGGTGAACACGGAATCAATAGTTGCTACAATGCTTGACAAGCCCCCCTTAATGCGTCCGTACAATATGTGGCTCAACGAAGAAGGACCCCGAGTCCTCTTCATTCTCCGAGCTACAAGAAGAACTACGAGGAAAAAGATAGCAACATGAATATGAAGAAACCGCGAGGAAGGCCAAGGAAGGTTGTTGTTGTCACCGTTAGTGACAATTTCAAAAAAATGATTTCAAATTATGTTTTGTTATATTTTGATTATGATATTTTTTATTTCTACTTTTGTTATGTTATGGACTTTTATTTATGTTTTTATTATGATGGTTATCAATTATGACGTTTTGTTATATCTATGATTTTATGGACGATTTCGGTTATCATATATGTGATTTAATGGATGTTTTTAATTACCAACTATTCCGATATCTATGATTTAATAGACATTTTTAGTTAACTTTTATGATATATGTGATCTAATGATAATTGATACACTCGTCATTTGATAATGGTGAAAATAATGTTGGTACTGATCGAAATTGAACGTTTTCGATTAACGTTTCTTTATGAATCCAACAAAACAAATTGATGTATACTAACAAACTATCATTTGATAATGCAATTGAATCACTCGTCATTTGATAATATAATTGAAAACGAAGGATACCAACTTTTTATCACACTTATTAGCATTCGAAAACAAAAGGATGAATTTTTCTAACTTGAAAACGAAGCATTTTGACTTTTCGATACACTAATTAGCGTTCGAAAACACCACTTTGGTTTATCGTAACTTGAAAACGAAGGATTTAGATTTTTCAGCATACTAACTAACATTCCGAAAATAATGTTGATACCGACTAAAGACTTAACGTTTCTTTAAGAATCCAACAAAACAAATTGATGTATACTAATAAACTATCATTTGATAATGCAATTGAATCACTCGTCATTTGATAATGTAATTGAAAATGAAGGATACCAACTTTTCAAGCACACTTATTAGCATTCGAAAACAAAAGGATGGATTTTTCTAACTTGAAAATGAAGCATTTTGACTTTTCGAGCACACTAATTAGCATTTTGAAAACACCACTTTGATTTTCCGTAACTTAAAAATGAAGGATTTGGATTTTTAGCATACTAACTAGTATTCTAAAAAATAATGTTGGTACTCGATCGAAAGACTTAAGGTTTCTTTAAGAATCGAACAAAACAAATTGATGTATACTAACAAACTATCATTTGATAATGCAATTGAATCACTCGTCATTTGATAATGCAATTGAAAACGAAGGATAGCAACTTTTCAGCACATTTATTAGCATTCCGAAAATAAAAGGATGGATTTTTCTAACTTGAAAACGAAGCATTTTGACTTTTCCGCACACTAATTAGCGTTCTTAAAACACCACTTTGGTTTTCCGTAACTTAAAATGAAGGATTTGGATTTTTGAGCATACTAACTAGCATTCCGAAAATAATGTTGGTACCGATCGAAAGACTTAACTTTATTTAAGAATCCAACAAAACAAATTGATATATACTAACAAACTATCGTTTGGTAATGCAATTGAATCACTCGTCATTTGATAATGCGATCGAAAACGAAGGATACCAACTTTTCAAGCACACTTATTACCATTCTCAAAACAAAAGGATGGATTTTTCTAAATTGAAAATGAAGCATTTTGATCTTTTAGCACACTAATTAGCGTTCGAAAATGCCACTTTAGGTTACTCGTAACTTGAAAAACGAAGGACTTGGATTTTTTAGCATACTAACTAGCATTCTAAAAATAATCTTGGTAATGACTCGAAAGATCGAACGTTTCTTTAAGAATCCAACAAAACAAATTGATGTATACTAACAAATTATCATTTGATAATGCAATTGAATCACCGTCATTTGATAATGCAATTGAAAACGAAGGATACCAACTTTTCGAGCACACTTATTAGCATTCGAAAACAAAAGGATGGATTTTTCTAACTTGAAAACGAAGCATTTTGACTTTTTAGCACACTAATTAGCATTCCGAAAACACCACTTTAGTTTATTATAACTTGAAAAACGAAGGACTTGGATTTTTTCGCATACTAACTAGCATTCGAAAACAATGTTGGTACCGATCGAAAGACTTAACTTTTCTTTAAGAATCCAACAAAATAAATTGATGTATAATAACAAACTATCATTTAATAATGCAATTGAATCACTATCATTTGATAATGCGAGTTGAAAATGAAGGATACCAACTTTTTAGAACACTTATTAGCATTTTGAAAAAAAAGTACTTTTGACTTTTCTAATTTAGAAACGAAGGATTTTAACTTTTCAGCATACTAACTAATGTTATGAAAAAACCGTTTTGGTTTTACGTAACTTGAAAAATGAAGGATTTGGACTTTTTAGCACACTAACTAGCATTTTGAAAACATCATAAATATTTTTTATTTACCGTACAATCGATACATTGTCAATTTTAACATACTAAAATCCAAATTTACAAAAGTTGAATAAAGTTTACAATTAGTGGTGTTCCAAAACACACAGGTGTTTTACTGCTAAAGTTGCTACAACATTAGGGATCGATGGTCATGCATTAGCATTTTCGAGCTTTTTCTTTTTTTTTTTCCTTTGCTTTAGTGGATTCATACTCTCGTCTAGAAATCAGCCTCTTTCCATTTGGCTTGCCTTTACGGGTTACCACGACTAGATCCTTATGTACAACGCATTCTTGTGTACCAAACACTTCAATAGCCACAACATCGGTTTCATTGTTATTACATGTCATCTCAACACTAGTATTACCGAGTGGTCATTCCTTTCGGTTTGGACAAAGAGTCATTTAATGATTCCTTCATAAATGACATTAATGTCCCATTAGAAATGGCAAGATTAGTTACTTCATAGAATGTTTTTTCTAACTCCCTAATTGAATACGGATATTATGTCATACCATTAGTACCGACCAAACTAGTGGTGATCTTGTTATAACGTTTGGTTACGTCCTTTCTCCAACATCTCAACGGATACTTGTCCGCAAGTAATTATGCATTGTTATTCACCAACAACCTAAATGCATGTCTACATATAATTTCTTTGAAATCAAACAACCTATAGTTACAAGATACATCATTATTGAAAGGATTATATGCTACCTCATACTTCAACAGACTTTGTAGCGTCATCTTTCATCAAAACCCTCTCTAACACTTTATAGATGGTATCGGGACCTTTTCTTTTCAAGTACATTACATCATAATACTTCATATCACGCAACTCAACTTGTACTTTATGAAACATTGAATTGGTGTAAACACTCCGAAATTGAAGCTCCAATGGGAATTTGGTCCATAAAGCAATTGTAACGTTCATGGTATCAAAATCAACATGCTTTTCTTTCTCAAACATATCTCATAAAGCAATTTTGTATTGCTCTATAAATTGTTTCAGTATGGTCCGAGAATGCACATAACCATCAAAATAAGCATTCATACTCTCATTCCGTTGAGTAGACAAGCCGTCCTAGAAAACATCTTTCACAAAAGTCGGAACCCATCGTTGTCTCCCCTCGTATAATTCAATCAACCACTTGTTACCTTTTAAGTTAAGATCTTTATCCATTTTATCATAACCCATCTCAAATTCCTTGGTTGTCAAACTTTCATACACAACACCCATGAAAGCTTCTCGTAAGTCATGTTTCCTCTTGCGATTTTTGAATTTCTTCGAAAACTTTGTTAGAATATGCCACAAACACCATTTGTGTCTAGTGTTTGGCATAGACTATGCAACGACTTTACCAATGCTCTTACATTGATTGGTGATGATGGCCTTTGGTGCAACATCGCTCATGCAACGTAACCAATTCGTAAACAACCAATCAAAAGTCTTCGCCTCCTCATCATATAATAAAGCACAATCAAGAAGTATCGATTGTAAGTGATGATTGACATCGATAAATGGTACAAATGGCATGTTATATTGATTAACCGAGTAAGTCATATCGAATGTAACAATATCCCTAAATTCTCGATAAACAACCGAGCTTCGAGCATCTACCCATAGAACGTTCGTCAACCTACCTTCATCATCATTTTCAACTTTGTAGAAGAAATCTATGTCGCACTCTATCATTTTCAAGAACATCTTTAAAAGAGTCTGTAGCATCACCTTCATCTCCGAGCCTTCTCATCCTTGATCGATCAATAAAATTCCTACAATCTTTAGTTAGACAAGGCATCTCCTCTGCGCCTCCAGTTTACATCACAACAACCCCGATATTCTTGCTTGGTCGAACACCCGCCATGTCATTTGTCTCTAACCTTCTCTTCATGTGTGGAGGGACGGACTCGTGCTTGTCTAATAAACCTTGTCATCTCCGGATCCATTTCATGGTTGTGATCTTTGATGACATGATTTATCTTTCACTTCCCATCTTTGCCCAATGATGCTTGTCGGTTTACTTGGACAACCAATTCCCTTTGTAGCCTTAGCATAGGGACGAATCCTTTCACGATAACATGAGATGGTTTGAAATTTATGAACACCATTAATCTTTTATGAATGAGACTTCACGACAACGAAATCCCATTGATCTTGCATACTTCTAGTAGAAAAGGAATATATCTTCAACATCATCGAATTCCATCCCGACCTCGAGTGCTTCAAAAGTTTCAAAATTACTAAACTCTTCATCCCTATGAATACAACCCGCATTTTCTTCATCATTGCGAAATTCTTCTTCCTCTTCGCAGCTTGATATTTCCACGTTTGAGTTTCTAATTTTTAGATTCAAATCACCGTAGTCATCATCAACAAAAATGGAACGTATGAGTTCTTATCTATCTATTAATGTCAAATTAGTGTGCTAAAAACTCAATATAGTGTGTTAAAAAACTCAATATAGAGTGCTAAAAATTATATATTTCATAGTCGACTCGTTATGTGACTAGAAATATTCTTCAATGGTTATTTCTTAGCATTAAATATTGTTTGTTAAGTAATTATCTTTCTAAATTCCTCTCTATCATTGTCATAATTGGGAATCCAAACCCGACACGATAAACAAGAAGGATCGATCCGAAAATCCATCGGTGCAAGTCTAGTGTACTCGAAAGAGTGTGCTAAAAATAATATACCTCGTAGTTCAACTGATATGTCTTAGCATATTCTTCAACGGATATGTTGTAATTCTTTGCTCAATTAAGAATTCAAACCTTACACGATAAAAATATGAAGTATTTATCTTCAATTTATTGCTTTAAATATTGTTGGTTATCCATAAGTGTAAATATAATGTACCGAAAGAGTGTGCTAAAAATGATATACTTCTTAGTTCAACTGATATGTCTTAGCATATCTAAGACTATTATGTCTTACCATGAAAGTATTGTTTGTAATTCATTGATCAATTGGGAATTCAAACCTTACACGATAAAAATATGAAGGATTTATCTTAAATTTATTGCTTTAAATATTGTTGGTTATCCATCGGTGTAAATTCGACGTGCTTGAAATAGTGTGCTAAAATTGATATATTTCGTAGCTAACTTGTTATGTGTTAGAGTATTCTTCAACGAGTTATTTTTTAACATTTAATATTATTTGTAAGTAATTGTCTTTCTAAATTCCTCTTCATCGGTAGCATAATTGGGAATCTAAATCTTACACGATAAACAAGGAGTGGTTTGAAATATATTGCTTTATATATTGGTTTCCCTACAAAAATAAAGTACCCAACTTTTTTTCTTCCCTTGTATCCCTCCAAAAAACACTACCCTTATAAAATTATGATGATTTTTTTTTACATCACTAGTGTCATATAGCACTACTCTTTTCAATAACATAGCATGCATGCAAGTAATAACATTAATTGGGTGTAAACAAATAAAATCATCTTGGAAAGGTGCAACCTCCGCGGTAGTTGGCTCCTTTAATGATCACGTAATCAAATTACTAGTCCGGATAATGCTTACATAATACCCCGATGCCCCATGTCGTGATAGGATTCTTTGGGAAGTCGTTTTGCCCGGTAAGATTATGTACGTTAGATTGCTAACTTATTAGCTCCTAATATTCATTTTTATTTTTTCTAAAAAGAATTCTTAAAGAGATGGAAATTAAAACTAGCTATCACTCACTCTCCAAAATACTATATTCACTACCATTAGCAAATTATTTTAATTTAAAAATTTAGGTTATTAAGTAAGGTTTTAAAATATGATTTATATTATTTTTTGAAATATCACTTCAAAACTATTTCAATTCAAGAGTACAATTAAAGAATTATCTTAATTCAAAAATTTAAAGATACTATCTATATTATTCTTCAATAAATTTTTTCAAAATCATCTCAATTCAAGAGTATCGTCAAAGAACTATCTCAATTAAAAAAATTTAAACTCGTTGGATAAAGTTCTTTTAAAATTAAAATTTATGCACACACACCTACAACTACTTTGTGTTTAATTATTTAATTTTAATTAAAAAATAGAAATGGTGAGATTCAAATTCGTGATCATTTGGTAATCAAAACTTTGACACAATATTAAAGAACCATATCAATCAAAAATTTAATCTATTAGATGATATCTTATGAATAGTTTTATATCATTCTTTTACACATCCTTTCAAATAAAAACTTTTTATACGTAACATTTATACAAATATATTAACTTTTAATTAATTAATTAAAAAGAATTAAGTACAAGTAGGTGTGTGCAAATTTCAAAGCTAAAAATTTTTTTGCTTAAAAAAATGTGTTAGAAAACAATATAAATTATATTTTAAAATCTCACCTAACAATTTAATATTTCAGTTAAGATGAATATTTGATATGGTATCTTTAAAATAATAATTGAGATTCTAAACTATTTTGAAGCGTTGGCATCAATTTTGTAAATTATTATGTGTATTTAGACATTTAAAATTCAGGTTTTTTCTTAGAATAAAATTCAAAGGTGACCTTTAGAATCCTGACAAGTCGTATAGGAAATGATTAAACTAATTGGAGCACGTTGGATATGGAGCATCCGGATGCCATTGGTATTAAACTAATGAAGCGTTCCATATCTACTGTTCAAAATTTTATTTGGGGGTGCAAATTATGGAAAATCACCTTACTAGTAGAATCTTCACCAGACAGTACAGTAGCCAAAATAGCAACTAAGTATTATTTATTTCCTTTGAGAGCCAAAAATAGCAAACAAATTGATTCATAGCTTTTGTGATGTTGGGTAGGATTTGGTAGGGGCATAAACTCTCCATAGTTTAATATTTATGCGTGGACAAAGAGTAAAGCTGGATCCTAAACTGCGGTCTCTCCTTCCCATTGGTGATCCATATCTTGCACATGCATGAATCCCACGTCATCGTTGTTATTGGGATGAGAACGTGAAATCCAATCTCCTCTCTGAAAATATATTAAAGAAGAGTGACAAGGGTTCCTTTTGTTTATTTGTACTTACATTGATCAAAATATTTTAGGGTAAAATTTACCTACTCAGGTTTATGTGTGTTATATTTTAAATTTCACTTAAAACATTTCATTTATTTCAATTAGATTTTATATTTTTTGTATTTGTTTCAATCAACCTCCACGTATTTTATTTTTATTCTAATCAACTCACATTTTTCACTTTTTTTTTAATTCCCCCCTTGCTTAGTTTTCATCATATCCATAAAGTTTATGACATAGCTCAATATCATTTGAGAGGATCAATTTCTCAATAAATTTTTAAATTCTATCATTTTCAATTCTCAATTAGTAACATCATTTTTTTTTGTCAATATGTAGTTAAATGAAACTCAAGATAAATTAATTTAACTCTCTCTTTTATTATTATTTTTTTCCATCAAAATCTTCAGCATATTTGTTAACACCTAATTTTTTCCTCCTCTTTATTTATTTATTTAATTATTACGAAAATACCAAAAATACCAAAAAATAATTAAAAAATGAAAAAATGGAAAATGAAAAAAATGAAAAATGGTAAAAAAAAAATTAGTTGAGATAATTAGTTTAGGTTAATTAAAAAAAAGAGCAAAAAAAAAAAAAAAGGAGAAGAGAGAAAAAGAAAGAGGGAGGGGGTTAATGGAAGAAATAGAAAGTTTAGAGGTAATAAAATGTTCAATTGAGGGTCCAATATAAAGAATCAAAACTCTTGTCCTTTAATTAAAAAAACATGGGAGCTTAATTGAAAAAAAATCAAAGGAAAAGTCTTAATTAATTGGTATTTAAGGGGGCCCATTGAAGAGAAAAGTCAAGATTGAATTCGAATTAGTGCATGGGAATAAACCAAGGACTAAAACGACATTTGACCTAAAACCTACATATAAAACACCCTATGCATTTCTTTATATCAAGCACTATTCATCATCACCCACAAAAAACACACACTCGCTAGCCACCATCCAAGAAAAACCCGAGCTCTCTCCCATGCCTATCGCCCCTCTCTCACTCGCAGCTCCTACCCACGTCGGGCCACCCAACTTGCGGCCTCTTCCTACATATGCACACCACACACTTCCAGCCTCTCTCCAGCAAACCCCCTCTCGCCCAAGCCTTCTCCCTCGCCCACTCGCTCCCATACGCCGGGCCCCTCACACACCTAAGCTTCCTCTCCCACCTCACACCTTATCGCCCAACCATCCCTCACCCCATACGCCACGGTTGTCCG